GTCCATGTCCATAGAAGAAGACTTATTTCCAGTGGGGTCCTTCTGGTGGTGATTGGGCAGTACACCGGGAGACAATCCCCTACTCTTTTCCGAATAGTGTACTGCGTTCATTAACGTGCACAAGTGAGATTGCGGACCTAAGTGTGCCGAGCACAGCAAAGTAAATTTCAGCGGACTGATTTTGGCTTATGTGGACTACATTTGGCAAGTAATTATGAGACCACAATCAGTCCACCGGACCGATTTTTTCCCCGGACCAAATTTTTCCTGACACCCATATATATTGGTCAAACACGAATTCGTGAAAAAATATATAATCAAATAAAACACGTGACATCACATTAAAATATGGAACAAAATCTATTATCATAACCGACGTAGCCCAAGAATGAAATTTAGCGTTAAGCTTCAGGAGGTAAGACAATGTACTATTTGGGACAATGTATCTAACACATTATTGGTTAATTCTACGAAAATTACTGGGTGTGTTTTCAACATAAGAAACAAAATGAAATGTGTTCTTTTACTTCAACAGTGAGATTCTGTACAGTATTTCACATTGCGTGACAAATAACAGGGATTTTTTATCATGATTTTTGGACATGCAATTCGAAAGATGGATTGAGTTAGCCGTAAAAGTATGTCTCAGTGAGATGAAGCACGAAGAAGACAACACATGACAGATTAATTAATTGGGCGAAATAATTAAACGAATTCGGTCTGCGTATACCGAGAAAAGAACGCCATCGATTATGATAAAACACAGGCAGTTTCAGCGGATATTGAACTCATAAGTTTTCAATATATAGATTACAACAGAGAAAACAGTTTTTTTTCGATTCTACATTTATCAAAATAATTCGCAAAGAATACTAATGCACTTAACACTTGCAGATTGCAGGTGGTGTAGGACTAGGCCCATCTTTTATAACCATCCTTTTCGAAATTTAATGTGTGCCTCCTTATTTTATTTATTTATTTATTTGGGGGGGGGGAATTTTTCTTTTCAGGTGTATGCATACGGTATTAAAGATAGTATAGGCCTAATTCAAAGATTTTTATTCACTAATGTGTGGTAAAACTTTTTGTAATTGATTGATGTTTGTCACTGTTGACTACCGGTGTGAGTTTGACACAATGTCAGCATACAGTAATGACCATTACATTTCTTAAGCGTTGAAAAAATTTCATCTAGTCTTCCGAGTTCATCGATATTTAGACTATAAAATGTGAAGATATGTAGATTTTTATATTACAGTATTTGAGAATGATAGTTGATAGCCGCCGAAACTGCCATAAGTTTCAAATGATATTCACCATTACATTAATTCATCAGTGACGTGTGCTACAATGCAGTAATTATTAATAGGCCTCTTGGTTACAGATAACTTTGTTTTATGGTCAATGAAAGAATACAGTATATTGGTAAATCGCCAAGTGATGTTACCTTCTTATATAAATGCGTAGGCTAAATGGGCATTTTGCCAACATAAAATTCTGGCTAAAACTTTAGTAGGGGACTAACCAACCTTGAACCATCGCTCTCCTCAGGTATCAAAAGATACAAACTACCCTTTAAATTAAGTAATAAAAAATGAAAGTACTACTAATATTGCTTTCGTGATTGTTTGTACCTTGGTACCAACCACGTAGATAGAGATATCTTAATTTTAACTATACATACATATAGAGATATCTTGTTTTAACTATACATACATAAAACAAAACATATATATATATATATATATACATATATATATATATATATATATATTTACACTATTATTGCGGCATTGCTATGTATTGTTTAATTATATCTCTCCTATTGGTGAGTTTAGCATAAGCCTTACAGTACTTATAAATATTCTAGTCACACTATACAATTATGTATCACTTGAGAAAGACATAGGGTCGAAAATGTTCGTGAGCATTTATTTCAAATAAATTGCGGCAAATTAACCCCTCGTCTGTTTGAATATATATATA